TAAACTAAAACTAGAACTAATAGTAGCACTATCACTAGAAGTAACACTAGACATTTGAAAGTAAAAGGTTTAATAACGACCGAACTTACATGAATATACAAGTATTTAGGCCGTTTGAAATTAAAGTGATGATTTATTTGGAGTAGAAGGTGTTTCCTGTTTCTCATCTGATATAGGGTTGGAGGCTCTAAGAGTACGCACTTAATTTTTAAATCAATTTTTAAACAGATAAACAAAAAGGCTTCAGGAAAAGCACGCTTTTTAACACAAAATATATTCGATCAAATATTACAAAACATAAAATAAATTCTCAAACATACTTAAGAACGGTTACTTTGGTTATTTAAAAAATTCTGCAGATTTCCAACTGCGTACTCTTGGAAACCACTGGTTCCAACACTACAAATTAAAGAAAGTAAGATTGTTTTTCTGAAAATAACAAAAATGAATCATTGTTTGTCAATATTGGTTGCTATCGCACTTTAGTACGTAGATATGTTAACCTATGTCGTGCAATGATCACACATAAATTTATTCCTTGTAAAATTGTCAGTGCAACCCAATCCAGTCACAAATTTTCGTTGTCGAACTGTACGCTTCTCTACATGAAGGACATACGGCATCTTTATCTTGCTTTTTCTTCTTTAACTTCTTTGATTCTTTTGTCTCTTTGCTTGAAAAAACTCGACACTTCACCACCTGCGTCTTTACTTCAAGACTCCTCTAGTTTGTTTTTGTACGGCGTTGAAGACAATATCTCAGATTTCTTTCCATGCCTCTTCCTGACTTGGGTCTCATCTATTTTTGGAAAAGGTATGATCATTTTTGGACTTATCATTTTGCTGATACCGGAATGGGAGTTGAAGTTTTGTATGAAGACGCAGAAAGGTAAGTTATCCTCCGCATCATCACAAGAATCCGACTCAGAAATTCGTGGGGAAGTTTTAGCAAGAATGTCTACAGTTTGCTCAGTATTTTCCTTAAGTAACACATCCGTTACTTCTGCCGGGGCAAAAATCCTCGTCTGTAAACATATCGGAGTGGTAAGGATAAAGTCCTGTTGAGGCAAATGCTTTTTCGCAGATGTCAATGATGGCAACAAATGGAGAGATTTGTGTTAACTTGATAACTTTGCCCAGATTTGTTAGCATCCACTTGTCACATTCTGATGAAAATGTAATTTTCAGTGGCCCGAAGAGTGCTTTATCCAAAGGTTGTAACTTACGACTGGCGTGGAGGGGTAGTGTCAATAATATAATGTGGTGTTCTCTGGCAAAGAGAATTGCTGGCGATATGTGTTTGTCTAACACCAAAATTACAGGATCTTGGGCCGTTGGCTTCACAAAATTTTGAAAGTGTACCAACCACTCTATAAAAAGTTGTGTGTTCACATAACCTGAGTCTGTCAGCAATTTTAAAGTTCCTGGAGGTGCTCCAACAAATAATTCTTCCCTCATTCGCTTCCGGGGAAATATCAAACTTGGTGGTACCCAAATGCCAGATGCAGCCGTAACTGTCTGTCCTCTCTCAGCAGACACCACTTTTGACACACTCGTTTTTCCTCTTGGTGCAAAAATTCTCGGTATTTTATTGGGGTAATAATACAAAAACATAAATCCAACGGCCCTTGCTAAACTGCACTTTTTTCATATCTTAAGAATAGATTATTCCTAGTTGCGAAATTTCTTGTCCAGTTTCTTCCAGCAGTCTTTATCTCTGTATTGAAACGATGGGATATATTGTTCATTTCGGCGTACTGGTATGCTAGTAGCATAGCATCTTTCATAGTTGGGCCGTAAAATCGTTCCTCCAGTTCTCGTACATGCTCAACAAGTTCTTCTTCCATCACACGTGTAAAGGCAGGTATCTTCCGAGATTTACAGGAACTGTACCCAACTTTAACCGTTTTCTTAACGAACATTCATTTACTCCTAAAGAGGCTGCTACTGATCTCTTGTTTTCGCCCTTTGCTATCCTTTCACGAGCTTCTTGTAACAATTCTGTTGTAAACTTCAAGGACCTTGCGCTTTTTCGATTGTACTTCCCCATTTTTTACAACCAAAAACGCGCGTTTTATATTGTCGCAAAGAGTACACATGTAGTTGCTATGAGGACGCAGGTGGGGAGTAAGAGTACGCGGTGCGTACTCTTTGGTAGCGTATTCTTAGCCACAAATGTGCAAACTGGTCTCTGACAAGCAAATTGAGGTTATAGCAACCGGAATACATTATGTTTATACATGATTCAGCGCGTTATGAAACGCCTATTCTGAAGTAACACATGATATGTTAAATGCAACACTTGCCACTGTATGAATGCTTACTCCGCATCCATAAAAAGTTACAGAAAATTGAACAAAATTTGTTTTACTTACCGTACACTTCCGTGCTTACGTTAATGGCCACAACTGACATACCCACATTTGCTACCAACTGTGGCTAACCTCGGGATTATATAAGCTCGGACGTACAATATAAGGTATAAGATAATATATAATATAAGATTTTTAGCAACTGCGTACTCTTAGAGACTGCGTACTCTTAGAGCCCTCTACTCTACAGTGCATCAGTAAAGTAGGATATATAGGCGATAAAATCATTATAAACGGTTTATGGAAAAAATCCTGAAATGGGTCTAAAAATTTAAATTTTTTCAACCATTTTTAAACGAGTTATGACGTCATCAATATTTTTTTCAAATAGCAAATCACCATTTTTATTATGTGACATGAAAGAGGATTTTTTTCTGAATTTAGTACAATCGATATTAACATTAGCTACATAAGAAAATTTTCGAGAAAAATTACTTTAAAGATAACCTATTATTTTAAACAATTTGCTAAGTGTCAAAATCTGATTTAGTAAGTACTTGAACTCTTTACTGCAACATATCTTGATTGCCAACTCATTAGCAAAAGAATGGTAAAAATCATTTACGAGATTTCTCGAAGACTGCCAAACCAAATGTTTCAGGGGACATTTAACAATTTTTTTGAACCGGTTTAAACAGTTTTCCGTCTGCGCATCATCGACCAATCCTAGACTTAAACGCGCATGAACAAAAACAAAACAGAAAACCGCTAAATTTTAAATTTGAACTTTAACAAACAAAAAACAATTTAAATTTTTTCAATAAAAAACAACTAATTAAAAAGAAAGTCAAACTAAAACGTTAGTGAATCGTCATCTGGAGGACTTACATTAACCTCCCTTCTGGTTCTATCCCAGTGAAATAAAAAAGAGTAAATATTATTTAAATTACTGGTATCCGTCTTAAAATTAACCGTATCACTCAAATTGATTTGATATATCTCCACAAATAATCTATTATAGTAATTCGCATCACTGTCAAGAATGGCAGGGTTTTCAAAGTCAAAATTATGATTACAAGTGACCAAATGATTAGCTAAAGCACATTGAGTTTATTTATTTTTTTAGTAATTGCCTGTAGAAGAAACAATAAAGTTTCGAAATATCACAACTAATAATTTAGTTACTTTTTTGTGTCTGATCGCCGTACCCACTAATCCTACCTTATACACTGAAAGAAATAGATTGTACGTATCGTGTTATAGAAAAAATATTATACATGCAGCAATTCATTATATTATATTCATTATATTTATCGTGCTGAATACAATCTCGTCTCGCTGTCACTTTTCGTAGTAAAGTATTATACCTTATAGTAGATTTTTAGTTACACAGTACAATCCATTTCTCTCAGTGTGTAAAGTAAACCTCATTCACGACCAACGAATAGTAGTTGCATCAATTTTGCAACGACGACGAAGACTTCGTCAAAAACATAAGTTTTTCCGATTAGGAAACATTTACATTGAGTAGACAAGTAAATAGACAAAATTATCGATATCGGGCTACCCAAAATCCACATTGGAAAAGAAATTCGCCCACCCAATACAGGCAAAAGATCATTGGGTGGAGCGAAATATTGCTTTTTGAGGGAACATTAACTGTAGAGACGAATTAAGATTTTTTCAAAACAATATCATTTCCATAACGGCCAAATATCCCAATAATATTGACTCAACTCAATTCCAACAGCAGTTATTTCAACAAAATGGCACGTCACCACAATTCAACAAGCTTTACTTCATCAGTTTTTGACACTTAGAAAATTGTTTAAAATAATTGGTTACCCTAGTTACTTATGGCTACTGCTATTTTTATCATGTCAAGCAAATATGAAGTAATTAAACTTGAAACTAATTTTTCTCGAAAATGTTCTTATGTAACCAATATTAATATTGACTGTACTAGATTCAGAAGAAAATCCCCTTTCATATTCCGTAATAAATATGGGGGACTACTATTTCAAAAAAATATCAAAGACGTCATAAATCGTTTAAAAATGGCGGAAAAGATTTAAAATCTACACTAAAAAATTTAAATCTTTAGACTCGTTTCAGGGATTTTTCCATAAACACAATGATTTTATCGTCCTTATACCTTATTTATTAAAGAATACATAAGTATTATTTCTCATTGATCACGGTCAGACACTGTAGGCGGAAACTACACTGCGGCGACATGTTAGTTTTGAAACTTTTATGTGGAACCTTGTGTTACGTTTGGTCAACTCATATAGGTCAAATGGAAAAATTCAACTACAGCAGGGTCGTTGAAATAACGTAGCAATAAATGTGAAATATGATGATAAAATAAAATAAAGAATAATTTGTAACAATAATGTATGGAATAACCAATGCTCCTCGAATTCTCCCACACAAGCGAATTCGATTAAATAAATAAATTTTCCACTATTAGTTGCGATATTCATCTTTATCGTATACAAAAAGGAAAATAAATTAGTTTAATCTCAATTTTTTGAACAATAATTGCATTTATTTTATTTATTGGGTCATTTCATTTGTTCACATTATTCATACAGTTGAAAATGGATTTCAATCTAATTCGCTCTTGTGAACAATGTTGGGGAGGATTTGTATTAGAAAATGTAATAGTTTGTTTCTATGATTTTAGGCATCAAAAATGAGAGATACGTTTTTAGGTTTACAAATATTACCAGATCAAATGCAAGTAGTAAATCCAGCATTCGTATTAATTTTTATTCCATTGTTCGATCGGATTTTGTATCCATACCTAGAAAAAATGCGTTTCTTGGAAAATCCATTACATCGTATGGCAGTTGGTGGATTAATAGCTGGAGTTGCATTTTTATCAGCCGGTCTCTTAGAATTATTTTTACAACAAGATTCACCTTACCAACCAGGACGACACACTTCTGCCATAAATTTTATAAATACTTTACCCTGCGATATAACCATGGACAATCCATTTGGACCACCTGTACAATTAAACGCTTCGGATAGATATGTGTTCGTTAATATTCCGGCTGAGGATAAAACGGAATATAACGTGACTATAGAAACGGATAATTCGCAATGCGGTGATATTCATTTTATGAAACCGAAGTACGTGGTTAAAGTAGTTGCCGTTGAATATCAAACCGATACGATTTTGATTGGTACTAATGGCCGAGATGAAATTGCCGATTATATTACGGATCCAATTGATTTTATGATGTCAATGAGTGAAAGACCTAAAATACGGTAGGGTTTTTACAGGATGATTCTTAAACCATCATTAGTGTAGTATCATATAGTATAGTACAATGTAATATACGTAACAACAAATTTATTGGTTGACTAAACCGTACAGATAGAAAATATAAAATAGTAATAATATATTTCTGTTAAAATATATATTTCGGGCGGTCTTAATACATAAAACAAAATAGGAGTGCTTAACACATTTCATTTGAAAATAAATCATACACATAAAAAGGGCAAAAAGACTTTGATTGATAGCCTTTTTGGGACAACGTTTTTTGTTTTTACATACATTTCTTTTTCTTCTATACTTGTAATTATTTTTTACCGCCCTAAATAAATTTTGTTCTCTCTTTCATACACATATGACCTAACCATGTATATGTTACAGCTAAAGCATTCATTCCGTAAATGTACACATTGTCTAGTCAATGCATATATTAACTAATTTATCAAGTTAATGTGTAGATAAAATACGAAATGTAAACTTTTACTAGTTGATGTATACAATTACTAATGACGCCCAATTAAAGCTTAAAGTACGTTTACTAGCATATTATATAACGAAACCTAACCCAACGGAGAATATCTTTATGACTGAGCCCCGATCGGATGTGGCGTCTGAAAACTGATCCGATCGGGAGTGTGGGACTTTCCTGGCATAGGTGTTGTTTGCCAGGCCAACCGCACTAAAAACTCCCCCTCTTTTGTTCGCATGAACTAGACCTTCACTATCCGGAACCGCTTGCTCATCTCTTCGGATAGTCTGCGACTTTAGATGTTACATACTGTTTTCATCTCCTGCTTTACCCCAGTCAGCTTCATACTCGGCTTAACCACAATCGCCATCCTTCGTTTCTTCTAGAGTACATGTGGACATACGATTCCTTTAATTTTTTGGATTAACACTTTATAAATTCGCACCTGAATTTGTTTCTCTTCTTCCCATCTTCCTTCACAGCTCGATGGAATCGTCCTTCATTTTCTCCAGCGTATATGTAGACATATGAATCCATTACTTTTCTGAATTTTAACTGTTTTAATGCGTTTTAAACCTGGATGAGAGAGCCCTCTCATTTGTTCATCTTCTTCTTCTCATCCCTAATGGCCCGCTTATTTCTCTCTCTTTTCCATAGTCGTTCATTTGGACATAGGATTCTATTCATTTTTAACTTTCTTTGTTTTTATTGCATACCTGAACGAGGGAGCGGCTGCTCTCTCGTTGTTGATCCTCTTCTATGTCATTCCTACCTACGCCCTTTCTTTTATTAAATAAATTAAAAAACAGCACTTCAACGATTATATTTATTGTAAATAGCTTAGTTTCCTACCGGTTTCGACTGTAGGTACAACAGTCATCCTCAGGAAAACGATGTCAACGAACTAGGCGCGTAAATATGTACATACTTGCGCGCCTCAAAAAATTTTCACATTTTGTCATTTCTAAAATAAGTTATTGTAATAGTTTCTTGTGAGGGAACCTTTATGTCTTAATCCGATGAGCTCCTGTTTTAGTTTATGTTCGTTGGCGTTGTTTTCCTGAGGATGACTGTTGTACAGTCGAAACCGGTAGAACACTAAGCTATTTACAATGAATTGTTTAGGTGCAGTTTTTTAATTTATTTAATTCACACGATGATAAGAAAAATACACAACTCCAACTTTCTTTTGTTGGCTGGAGCTTTGTTCCTCTCCTTCTCTTCGCTTCTCCTCCACCTCCTTCTCCTTCATTATTCTAGTTAGGAAGTCCATTACTTCCTCCCCACTTCTCTCGTTTCTCTCAACAGTTCGTGGATACTTTCTATTTTAATTTCTCTTCCTATCCTTATCTCCGCTCGTCTTCTGAACTGCTCGAAACGTGTGCACTCAAATACAGAACCCAACCCAACCCAAAAAATGGTTACTGCTATACTTACTTACTTACTTACTACTTGCATCACATGCAATCCCTTCTATTAAAAGAATTATACCGTAAATTTTCTTTGTTATAACTTTTACTAACATCTGTTAGCAAATGCATACACTGCCTGACAATACTTTCAATAAAACGTTACATTAATGTATACATTGACTGGCTAATGTGTACATTAACTGAAATGCACGCTTTACCTGTGACATATACACAGTCGAACGCCGCATATAAAATATTATTCTATACTTACTTCGAGGACATGCAGAAGGTCTTGTCATGGTTTTCTGACGTTATATTTCATGTTTCACTTTATGAGTTGCATGGATACTATTGTCTCGTAATACACAAAGAAGTCTTGGGTTCTATATTCTGTTTGCTCTGTATTTTCAGATTAGTTGTAAGTTAAGTTCTTTAAGAAGGGTAAACTTTTCAACAAAAATTTTTGATTAATTTTGTATATTACTTGAGAAATTACACTTACTATATATAGAAAGAAGAAAGTAGTATTAATGGCTATCTCGTACAAGACTGAAATATATAATAAATAAATCGTTCAATATGGCACCTACAACATTGCTTGAATTACAAAAATTTATTACGTCTTGACCGCAGACCGGAATATCTGTGACTCCTGTAATGTTTTTCTGAAAAGCAATTCATGATTTTATTTTTTTGTCTCTCTAGATCGAATATTTCAAAGACCTATTTTCCCTCATTGCTACTTAACTTCTTTTATTGTAGTAGATCTTTACCTAACACAATAACCATAATATAATAAATAACCTTCAGCTACTAGAAGAGAGAGATTACAATGCTACCTACTATTAGGAAACATACTATAGGATACTCTACCACACTGACGAAGTATCAATCGTGATAGCTATCTGGATTTAGTTTCTAGAAATGTTGAATCTGTGTTGATTTCTGAGACTTGATTATCATTCCTTGCATTTTTTAATAAATTTTTGTGTTGGATTCTTTCAAATTAACTTTTCCATAACGTTCAAATAAATACTATTATAAATAATACTTATAAATGAAATTTGATTTTGCAAGTCATTTTCGTGATTCTGGGTGAAATTTATGACAATGTAACATTCTAAGTACACGGTTTTGGGATACACCAGGAATGTGTAGGTTATTACAAACAGCAGCGAAAACATTGATTGTATATTATTAACTGTTCTCGTCTTCTAGTGCCGCCTTTGTGCTCGCTTATAAAGTACAATGAAGACTTACACAGAATACACAATATATTATTTCTTATGATAAAAGTTTTATTTGAAACATATTCCTATAAAATTGATGGTTTATGAATTATTAGATCGTTGTAACTTAAATGCCTTACCTGTTGTTTTAGTTTTTCCCTTTGTCCTTAAAATTTTTTTATTACAAATTTATCTATCAAATCACGTATTCATGAAAATCATGTGTGTTCTTTTATCTTCATTTTTACGTCAACCTTTATTTACTTAAAATGTAAATTAATACTCTTTGTGCTATAATTAATTTTTCACATAGGAAAATTGAGTTTTAATGATTACATTACTCTTTTTTAGTAATTTATCACTAACAATAACGCGAAATTAATTTTAAAAAGTGTTCAACTTGAATGAATATAATTAATAATTGAAATTGAAGATTTTACAAGTACTGCTTTTAAAGTGTTGATTGATTTTAGTTGAATTGGTAAACAAAGGAGCTTGATGTGTAATTATTCTGAAAGTAGCGAGATTTTATCGTGTCTCCGATATTTCATGAAGTTCGAAGTATGTCGAAGTTCATGAATAACTGTTTTCTCAACGAAGCTGTTCTTTTATATCCTTTGTTTTTCTTTCTTTTCATATTTGTCACCAAATCTTGGATATTTTAATGACATTGGTAACAGCTCCCTGTGACAGAAAAGGGTGGTAGCAAGGTCCCTCTTCTACCTTACCCTTGGTTCTTTTATGTGTTCAATTAGAGTATAATACAACTTTTCTACATTTGCTTGCGATTCCAGATTTTATGCTGTTCCAATATTAATCTTATCAATTCTTTGAAAATTTCATTTGCTTAATTCTACACTTTAATTATTTTAAATTTTTACTGGATAATCCATACGATGAAAAATATATAATCAATAAAATTATAATTTTGATTCGATTTCCTGGTCAACAGATGAGGCATTTAAATTACGACGAATTAATAACTCAAAAACTATCTATTTTATAGAAAAAAGTTTCAGAAAAAACTTTCAACATCACATTTCTGTGTAAATTTTCATTGCATTTTATAAATAAGTATTCGTCTTTTTAAAACTTTTCTACTGGGTACATTATAGTAATTATAGAATTTTTGCATACGTGTTATACAGGGTGTATCAGGTATGAGTAGACAAAATTTGAGGGGTTATAGGTCTCCTCTTTCTGAATAAAAAATTCTTATAACACAATGTCCCATTCTATGCCATTCTTAAGGTATGATACGATAAAGTTAAGGGTTCGAAAGTTTAAGTACTGCTGTATAAAGAATTATATCAAACAGACTTTGTTTATGTAATATAGCTTTAATTTGACACATAAAAGACATTTTTGAGATATTTTTTTAGAGGTTGTTTACTTTATACGAATAAATTTATCACTTCTGTTTTTTCACTCTTTAATGTGAAAATTTACAAAAATTGAGGTTTTAATTACAAAACTAGAAATAAATTACAAATTGCAAAGCAAAGCCTGCTTAGTATAACTCATTAACCAGTAGTACTCAAACTTGTGAACTCTTAACTTTATCGTATGATATCTTAAGAAGGACAATAAATGGGACATTGTGTTATAAGTATTTTTTATTCAGAAAGAGGAAACCTATAACCCCTCAATTTTTTTCTACTCATACCTGATACACCCTGTATATGCATAAGTTACATACAGGGTGATTCACATAAGAACCGACACAGAACAGGGACATGTAGAGGAGAATAAATTAAGACGATTTAACACAACTTATCTCTATACTAAGTTGTACTCCTGAGGTACTGAGGTATTAATAGGCCTTCAAAGTTGGGTCTTAAATTTTTAAAACATTGAATATCTTCGTAATACATTAAGTTAGAAAAACCAAATTTGGTATACGTTATGAGTGTACCGAGGGTATTAATTGATAGCAAGTTGAGACCAATTGAGGCATTTGAAAGGGTTGATTACGGGTGATGGTCCCATCAATTTTGACAGCTTTTTTTAACCTTTTCGTGGATTTAACACATTATTACCTGATTTCATGTGGAATTTAATTCTAAAACTTTTTCTACTCATATTATTTTTTTAAAAACATTGTCGTTTTCATAAAAAACTCAAATAACTAAAGACACGAATTTCGTTAATGCTACTTAAAATCATCGAAAATTCAGTAGTCGGCTGTGAAATTGTACGTCAAACTTGACAAATAGGTTATAAAACCTTGTCGTCAAATAACTTTATAACCTATTTGTCAAGTTTGACGTACAATTTCATAGCCGACTACTGAATTTTCGCTTATTTTAAGCAACATTACGAAATACGTGGGTTTAATTATTTAAGTTTTCTATGAAAACGACAGTTTTTTAAAAAATAATAAGAGTAAGAAAAGTTTTAGAATTAAATTCCACATGAAATGAAGTAGTAATGTATTAAATCCGCCAAAAGATTAAAAAAATCTGTCAACATTTAGGGTACCATCACCCTTAATCAACCCTTTGAAATGCTTCAATTGAGTTCAATTTGCTACCAAACACTCATAACATTGGTACACTCATAACGTATACCAAATTTGGTTTTTCTAGCTTAATGTATTACAAAGATATTTAACTTTTTTTAAATTTAAGAGACAACTTTGAAGGCCTATAACTCCTCAGGTGTACAACTTAGTATAGAGGTAAGTTACGTTAAATCATCTTAATTTATTGTCCTCTACATGGCCCTGCTCTATGTCGGTTCTTATGTGAATCACCCTGTATATCATATTCGTCTATCATTTGTATACCGCTTTTTATGCTTTTCTACCAATATATACGTAAGTGTCCAAATGTTTCATTATTTTCCATGATAATTTTGTTCATAGTATTCAATAATTGTTTACTTGCTTTTTGTCTGTTACATTCACTCCACGGCTCTTCTTATTTTTGATCCATTATTATTCATTTTCTCCATTTTGTCCTGCTTAAAAGATAAATTGTCATCTCTTGTATCGAGTAATTTGTCTAGAATTGGCATTTTGGTATCATGTTTTATGATACAGATTGAGTACTGTCTTTCTTTATGATCTATTCCTCATCCTAATTGAAAATTTTGCTTTGATGGACCTGCTTCATGAAGCAGGTTCTTTCTTCACTTCAATCCAAATTTCCATTTCAATACAAAAAGCAACTCCTATAATAGTTAAATTTGCAACTCGTAAAACAAAAGAAAAACGATTTTGAAGCTAAATCAAAGAGGAAGGGGTTTAGATGACCGAGAATTCTTATTAAACACGACTTAACCAATTAGAACGGATCATCTTAAATAAATCAATACTTTTAACCTCAAAGATGTGTAGTTTCAGCATAGTTTACATAAAAATAATAGAGCGGATAAGCTTATCTACCCTCTGCATTGATTTTTATTAACCGAGAAATTAAATGAAGTTAAATGAATTATTATTATTACATGTGTCGTCTGCGGCCAATTTTATTTTATTTGTTTATTTTTTAATAAGCGTCCACTAACGACTTGGTAATCAGCGGTTTCATTTTGTTGTAATTGTTCATCTTTTTATTTTTGATCTAGCAGACTGTATTTTCTTTTTGTTAGATGTATAGCACAGATATTGTTAATATCTATTATGGGCTGCCCCTGATCTGTGGCGGAATCTGCATAAGAAAAAATCTTAAGATTAATTTACTTGCATCTTCGAGCACCATAGAATAGATTTGGTTTAGATTTGTAAGTCATAAAATTTGTAATGTGACGGTTATTGCTTACAGGTTGCAGAGAAGAAGTGACCCAGAGACGTTTGTCTAGGAACTTCAATCGCAACTGTCTACTAGTGTCTGAAACATAGATAAACAAAATACTGATAGATGACTACTGATAGATGACATTAATATTGATATGTGTGAAACCGAAAGTTTTGGACTAATTTTGCTTTTATTTATAGCGACTAATTATACTTCGTCCTAGACTGTTGCGATAAGTACTTCTGTGGTAATTTTCTTTTTTTCTGGTGAATAATTTGAGGAATTGGGCTCTTCATGTAGTTGTTCAATGAAATTTCAATATAAAGTAATAGTAAGTAATAAATATAGTAAGAGAGCGAATTCGAAGGGTTAGAATTCAGGTTATTGAGGTGTTCCTTATTTTGGCAAAATTAATTACTTTCACAACCATTGAATGATTTAATCGATCGAACTTTGTAATACTTCAGACTGCCCCAGGACAATTTAATTTTTATATTATCATCATATTATCGTGCATATCATCTGCATATAGGAATGTTACCTTTTAAAGTCACTTCGCCCGAAGATTTAATATAAATAACAACTACAGACTTGTAGGGACTATTAATCTCCCGTTTCGGTGATGTGCCGTGGCCCTCTCATTCCCCTGATCTCACAGCTCTTGATTATTTTTTATGAGGACATCTAAACTTTACTTTTTTATAAATAAACTCTTTTTCAATTAACCATCAGCTGCGTTATTTTTATTTCAGAAAGACCCGTCCATTCTGCCCCACTCTGTATTTCTGAGTTATGCGTGGTCATTGATTGCATATCGTCTGCACTTACTCATCGAATTGATGTTAACTAATCCTAGTATGTGTGTATTGTAGATACAATATCTGTTGTTTGATAGTCATTTAATTTTTCAAGTTTCGCAATTGTTAATGATTGCATTGTTCTTATATCTGCAGTAATAAGATCAACGCACACGATCAGAATGGAGAACAAGCTGAACATTGGATAAAAAGGAGATTGCAAAAACTGGAGCTTTGAAACAACCTTCTATTTGTAGCCTGCATAAATTACAACATGCTCGGGAAAAATACTAAGAATTTTCACTGATTAGTAATTGAGTGTTATAAGCAAGTTAGAGTACAAATCACTGAAAAACAAGCTTCTACTATAATAAATGCGCGTATCAATAAATTAAATAAAGTGGGAGGGCCGCTAGGATCTTTCTAGTATTAGAAGAGTATCCATTGATAGAAACAATATGCAGTGTCCGCCAAAAAGTCAGTAACACCCATTTCTTTTCTGTTCCATTGCATCTACGTTTCTGAAATTTGGTTTGTATGGGATGTTCATACCGTTCATTCGATCTAAAGTATTTTTAAGATAGTGACCATTTCCGGTCTATCGGAAGTATACCTCATCTTGAAAATACTTTAGATCGAAAGATCGGTATGAACCTCCCATACAGACTAAATTAAATTTCAGAAATGTAGATACAATGGAACAAAAAAGAAACGAGTGTTGCTGACTTTTTGGCGGACACTGTATGATAAATCTTCCAGATTCAAGAAGAGAACGCCTGGATGATAATTATTTATACCAATCTGATGGAGTTTATATTTACCTGAGCGTCTGATTTAACTGTGGTGTTGTTGTTTACGTTTTCAATGTTCACTTCCTTCTTTTCCGAGGAAGTAACAATATTATTTTCAGCTGAAATATTTGCTAAAATCGCCTTGTTTGAATATGGTAATAATCTATCTTAATCTAAAGAGTATCTTTGAAAATTCCTGTGGTGGTGGTAACTAATCGGGATTACCTCTTATTATTCATAATAACATTGTGTCGCTCACTTAACGCCGACGAGTTTGTTAAAAAAACTAAAGTTTGAACAACACGTACTCAGTTTTTCTCATATAGCTCACTTCTCAATCTGTGCCCATCTACATTCTCCATTTCAAAGATGTATTATTTTCGTCTACATCGGCATCGTTGGCCTGATCTGGATAACTATCATTTGATACTCGATAATATCCTAGATCACATATTTTCTTGCTTCTGACCCATTTAGTTACACATAATCAAAATGTATAACGAATAATAATACAAATAATTCGTAATTAGTGCTTAACAAGAGTAGTCCTGAAATTTAAAGATCCGTGAAGAATGATTCTGAGCTGCACAAGTTTTGTTGGTCTTCTTCCTCTTTATAAATAGCATAAACATTTTATCATTTTATGAACAACTGACGTTCACTGCAAATTCTTCTAGGAGGTTAATTTTTAAAGTTGTTCAACTTGTAATGTCTGCAATGTTATCAAAGTCCATAATCTATTTCTCAACTTGAAGATAATTTCTATAAAATGGTCTAATATCGTTGTAAATGATAACATAAACGTTGTGAATTATTTCGTTTTCTTCACAGAATATTATTTAGAATTACAGAACTTTTGTATCACATTATCAACCATTACGCCAAACAATTTTCAAAGCACGTTGCATGTAAAACACATTTCTATAATTCATTAAAACCACGATAACGACATTTTAAAACACGCTTTTACATTTACATTATATGGTTTATAATAAATTTCGCCTATAAATCTTAGACAATTTAATTTTATTTAAATAATTTCCAAAATTTAAAAAGTTTATGTCCATTTTCACCTTATATTGTAATCAGATTTCATTTTAATCTAACTTATATTTATTTACTTTTTTTTAGAATTGCGTTTATAAGAACATCTCCTTTTTTATATAACATTACTGTTATTTTACGAGGAACCAACGGTTTGGTTGATACTTACTATTTAGGCGAAGAACCTAAAGATCTTTCGGTTTCACAATACATTGAACTAGTTCATGGAGGGTAATAAAAACATTTGTTCTTTAATCTTTCTTATAATCGATGTTGTAAATCAAAATATATTTTTTTAAGATATGATTGCATGGTATTATCGAATCAACAAACACTTTTTTCCCAAACATTTCACCTGGCTTTAGGAGGAGTGTACAGTTTGGTTTTTAGAGAACGACATGGGGTTATTGAAGTACTACCTACAAAACATAATTATCGAAATAGTTACATTTAACAAGTATATACTTCTTTGCAGTTTGGAAAATTATATACGATATCGCCTCCAAATAATGTGAGCATTATGTGGCTAATACCGCAATACTTTTTAATATCAATAGCAGAGATTATGTTTGGAATAGCCGGTTTAGAGTTTTCTTTCACTCAGGTACTACGAGAGATAAGATTAAGATTATGTTATAAAATATATTGAATGGAAAATTTCAGGCACCAAAAAGCATGAAAACAGTTACAATTGCAGCATGGTACTTGTCTGTAGCAATAGGTAATTTAATCGTTATCGTGGTGACCCAATTGGATATGTTTAAAAACCAAGTATGTAAAAAATAGATCGATAATCAGTATCTTATACGTATTTATCTTTCAAAATCCAAACAATATTAAAAGTTATCACGTACAGTTTTTTTTATAAAAGTCATTAAGCAAAATTTTCTTTAATGATTTAAACTTGTTAAGAATTTAACAATGCTTTTAATGGAGTGGCAATAACAGATTTTGTAAACATATTTATCAGTGGTAACACAAATTCCTTAGATTACTATCGGAAATTTCATTTAAAATGATTTTTGTGATCCAGACATGTAATCTGAATTGTTTATCGTCGCAACGCGATACAGTCTAATTAAAAAAGTATGATGCAATTACGAAATTATTAACAGCATTCATAAAAAATTAATCCAATCCGAAGCAATCTATAATTTTTATTACACGCGATGCACGTGTTAACTGCATTATTCGTCAAATTGGAGTACATACTTTTTTAGATAGAAATGCATTTTTTTATTGATGAAAAAATTAAGATCTAATTTAAACAAAGGAGAAAGTTTTGAATGAATAAAATAATTTCATTAGTACTTTTTCTTTTAATAAATTAGTTTTTGTTTCATTTATTTCCAAGAACGTAATACTAGATTCATTTTCAGGCTTTCGAATTTTTTTTCTTCGCCATTCTAATCGTGGCAGATATGATGATATTTACCATAATGGCATCTCAATATACTTTCGTCCAATTAGAAGCAGATAGCTCTGTAGCGCTTTTCGATGATAATGCATCAGAAAAAGAAGCTTTAACATAACATTTCAGTTTTTACTAATAATTTATTGTAATATTTTTACGTTTTTATATTTACTTTATCTAAAATATATGTATCATTTTATTTATCAGTAATGATTTTTTTTTATTAATGTGTCCAAAGGTTAAGCATTATTTGCTTGGGCGTACTGCAAAAAGTTATTCAGACATGTTTATAGAAATTTCTATAAACATTTCTTTAGAAATTTTACGTAACTACGTAATAACATTTTAATTAACACAAATTTTCCTTTGTGTTTATTAAACGATGACTTTAGCTCACCAGTACAAAAATTGTATACAAACATCGGAAATAGGAATTCTAACAAAGACAAAGAAAAGAAATAGGAACCGAAATGGCAAATAACTACATACATTTATATAGCAGCGTGCCTAAGGATCAAAGGGCTGACAGTCTCAATATTACTCAATAATAAACAAAAAAATAAAATCAGTAACCGGCAAATGAAAATATCATCGAATTGGAAATTAACAGCATGGGCAGGAAAATAACGGTACTTGGAGCCAAAGGATAACCCTGGAGTAATTAAAGAGCAATTCCTTGATAGACTTAGGCTCGTTATTACCATCTTTTAGTTAAATTTATCTAATAGATAAACCCATCTACTAGCCAATAAGAGCGCGTAAAATAGCCGTAACCATGGTAATAATCCCTTAGATAGCTTAACCAGAAGATGGTAGTAACGAGCCTTAATGAATAAACAGTAAAAATCGGTTCTATAAGTAAAATCACTATGTTGGGAGACCTTAATGGTCATACTGGATGTAAATGGAACGATTCTGCAGTAACCCTAGGATGCATAAACCGGGCATCTCAGGCCCGGCGACATTTTAGTTACTCATAATTTTCTTAAAATAATTTCAGTCGGCTTGAGCATTTAGATATGCTCTAAACACGTCTTTATTCAATACACACTTGATTCAAAAACATTCAAGTGTAATTAGCAATCGAAAAAAAAATCGCTTCCATAGCACCCCGTATTTTCATAAAGAGGGCCTCCGAAGCCCGTGTATTACTAGTTACTATAGAACAAGTTTCAACTTGTTCATTACAGGTTGAGGGTTATTATAATTTGTCGAACACTGCTGCGCGGAATTGTGCGTGTCTGTGCAAGTTAAAACGTGCATTACTGTTGGATGTATAAAAGTAGCTGCAGCTGTTTTTCATTCAGTTGAAATAGAAGTTGGATTGAGTGAACTTGTGAGATACATATGATAATGGCGTCAAAAAGGAATGTGAAAAGCGTGAGATTTGGTGACCCCGTTATGAAGAAATATTGGTGCAGTAGGCAGCCGAATGTGATGATCTGCCTTCTGAAGAAAGTGATGTGTCAGAAGCAGAAAATGATGACACAGAAGATAGAAATTTCGAATTGGTTCCTGACGAGTATTCTGGATCCAGTTCTGATCACGGTGACGATAATTCAGAGGATGATGTTGATGATATTGGTAAGCCTTCAACGAGCGGTTACATTGCTCCAAGTGGTCTGGTATGGAGTTTGGAACCTCCAGCAAAAATAGAATTCAACCACACAACATTATTCGGCGTGCGCTAGGACTAGCAAGGGAACATATGGCTGCAACACCAAAAGAAGGGTTTCAGTTATTTGTAACTACAGTTATTGTACAAGAAATTGTGAACTGTACTAATTTAGAGGGCAAACGTGTTTATGGAGCAAAAGGAAAACCATGGAAAGATGTAACTGTTGATGAATTTCTTGCATTCTGTGGTTTACTTATTCATGCGGGAGTTGATAGAAGCTGGTATGTTCCTGCGAGAGAATTATTTTGTGATGAATTTGCCAATCCTGTATACCGAGCTACAATGTCCATATTTCTCTTTGAAGAAATACGAAGATTCGTCAGAGTTGACGACAAGAGAACCCGGAATGCGCGTTTGGAAACCGATAAGTTAGCAATGGTGTCCTACATTTGGGATTTATTCATTCAGCAATGCAAAACCTGCGTCATACCTGATACTAATGTAACTATTGATGAACAACTCGTTAGGTTTAGAGGTAGATGCACATTCGTTCAATATATGCCAAGTAAACCGGACAAATATGGACTTAAAATATTTCGGATGTGTGAATCTACGTCTGGTTATGCTTTGGATGGTTTAGTTTATGTTTGTCGCCAGCCCGGAGAACCTCCACATAAAAACCTGGGGCTTTAAGTAGTACAAACTCTTGTGCATGGCATTCATAATTCTGGTCGCAATCTCACGATAGACAATTTTTTCACTAGTGTTCCGCTAGCAACTTATCTGTTGGATAAAAATATTACTGTTGTGGGTACACTACGTCAGAATAAGCGTGACATTCCGAAAGAAATAAAAGCCTCAAAAGATCGTGTACTCTTTATTGTTTTGTTTTCAAAATAATGTATCCATGGTAAGTTACGCACGTAAAAAGAACAAATGCGTAATTTTACTAAGCACCATGCACCATGACGCACCTATCAATGACGACGCTAAGAGGAAGCCTGAAATCATCTCTCTTTATAATAAAACGATGGGCGGTGTTGACATCATGGATCAAATGGTGTCGACATACACGTGCAAGAGGCGAAGTAAACGATGGCCTATGACATTTTTCTTCAACATCATTGATGTTGCAGGACTCATTGCATATATAGTCTTTACGAAGGAACATCCAAACTACAACATAGGAGTGACTCACAAACGAAGAATGTTTTTGAAAGATTTAGCGAAGGAACTAGTGATACCATGTATGCAGAGAAGATCTACTAACCCTAACCTACGGCGTACTATCTGGGAGTGTATGAGCAGATTTATTGATATATGTGGTCCGCCAGCCGCTCACACAAGTGCAACAATTAAGAGAAAAAGATGCTTAGTATGTCCCGCAAGTATTGATCGTAACACAATGATATGTATTACTTGTAAAAATAATATCTGTATCGAGCATAGTATTAGAATGTGCACTAAATGCTTCACTAATCCCTAAAAACAATAAACAATAATGTTTACTTTCATATTTAACCTCACGTTTGTAACGTACATATGTATAAATAAATAAAGTTTTACTTCAATAACTTTGTTTCTGTTCTGACTACACGTGATTTTATATAACGGGTCTCAGAAGCCCGGATTATGTAAATGACGATATTTTATTAGTTAAGGCCCGCTTTTATCACTTTTAGTTAAACTGGTCGATTAGTCTAACTATCGGATAACGTTTACCTATTAGTTAACTGCGAAACGACTTTTACCATTTCGATCTAACTAATGGATAGGCTATCTAGTAGTTAACGTAAAAATCTAGGGGAATATTATAATGACTGTTGGTGACTATGCGTAAAAGAGGTATTACAGGTTTCTATCTCTTTTGTCCGTTAGTAATGGTCGGTAATTCGTGGGTAATTCTCATAAACCTGTCAGTTCTGTTAGTGGCAATCAACGATCACGAAAAAATAAAAACCGCAAATCAGGCCGAAAAGCGTATTCGGGGGGCAAATTTTTAACCTGAAGAAATAACACTTTTACTTGACTTGGTGGCGGACATTGAGGTCTTATATATAATCTAGAGAGCGTATGTGATGGTGGTGGGGGTAATCAGAAAGTCAGACATGTTGGATGTACCGACCTGAACTTAGCTATAGTTTCAAGTCTCTATTGTACCTACAATTATAACCTCACAATTCTCATAAACATATTGTTATTTTTATTAAAATTTGATTTTTGCTGAAAGTTTTCGAATTCTTTTCGTTTCACATATGTTTTTTATAATTTGATAGGTTGGACGATTATTTACAACCGTCCATAAAATGTTTCTGGTTACTTGACTTGGAATTAACAATTGAAGACCTCGGTATAAGAAGGGGACAACTCCTTCTCTTGATAAATGGAGCTACTCCCTTCTTGCAGCAAGGTCTTCAATTGAAGTTCAAGTAAAGTTTATTATTAAGGACTGTTCAGTTTTTTTTAAATAAACTAACAATTATTTATAAGCAAAGGTTAACGTGATCAATCAGAGTTGCTTTAAATATTTTCTTCTTAGTTTATGTTAA